GCCAGTGATTTCTTTTTGGATTGAACCTTCCTTATTGTTTTGGGTAATCTGTTTTTTCTGGTTTTGGGAGTTGTTAATGGTACATATAGTTTGATGACTCTTTTGACTTCAAGTAAAAATATGTTGTAATGGTCTTCTACAGTATTGCATCCAGAGAATAGAAATTGCCAATCAAAGGATGAGAGATCGTTGTTTATAAGATCATAGTTGCCTTTTTTGAAGTTATAATTGGGGATTCCGTCATTGTGATGATTTTTGTGTGGACGTATGTTGAGACAAAAGTCAATCACGTTGTGGTCACTGTTGGAAAAGGGTTCTTTAATTTGTATTCTGTAAATTGAATTCAAATTATTGCAGAAGATGAGATCGAGGCAATTGTTAAGTCTAATGTTGTTGGTTACTCATTGTTCTAGTCCCAGATTTGTTACTGCATTGTAGAAGATTGCATGTGTGGGTTCAGTTGTACATTTGTTAAGGATCCAGTTTATATGAGGTAGATTGAAGTCACCCCAAAAGATAAAAGTGTGTGGGCACGATGCTGCCCATGTTAGTAGTGTATTTAGCTTGTTTGCATGTTCGATGTCATAATCAGGGACTCTGTAACATAGTAAGAACTGAAATGTGATATTTAAGGACAGTTCACAGATGATGGTCTCAGGAATAGCAAGCTCCTGGGTCACTTGGATGTTTTTTAGATATAGGGACTTTTTATAGAAGATAGCAACACTACCTCCTCTATTGATTTCATGATCTGATCGGTAAACATGATAGTCTCTTACTGTGGTAATGGAGTCAGGGAGAGATGCGTTGAGCCCTGTTTCACAGACAAATATAATGTCGAATTTAGCCATATTTAGTAAGAGGAGAAATTCAGGTATTTTATTTACAAGGCTTCTTGCATTGAGTAGCTTGCATTTAAGGCACTTGTGGTTGGAATAGACGTAGTTAGGGGCATGCACGTTAAGATAGTAGCTCAGTTGTGAGTTTAAAAATTCTCCCCATTGTAAGTACATTGTACAGTGCCTAAAGTTCAAAAAGCATTTTTGCCCCAATGACAATGGATATTCTAAAGTATTTTTAACAAATGGCCATTCACTTTGTGTTTGCAAACCTAATTAAGGGGAACTCACAACTTCAGGCATCAGCATGTTCTACAGACCAACAGCCAGAAATTTCCTCTCACATTCTAGCCTGAACCTCGTCGTCTGCACTTTTTACTAAATGTTTTTGTTTCTATTCTATTTTTCTTATATAATCACTCCTACTCTATTGTAACATTTCAGAATATTTAAAGAATGCTATCATATTCCACATCAGTCTTATCTGATTGATTCTACTGAATTCCTTCAACTTTACTTCATAGGAATTAATTTCTGAATTTCTGAATAAAACTACTACTAGCAGGGTTCAGGATGAGATATTTAACACTTCAGATTTTTTCCATCTACTGATGTCATTGGATAGCTCGCCAAATTCTCAATAGAAGCATACACTGTCTGGTGGATTTACTCTTGTCTGACAAATGCTAACTTCTGAGAACTGCAGGCCATAAAGCACCAGCTATATAGTAAGCTGTTAATGATCAGGAGATATTCTGGTTCAGTCAAGTGGTAACAGCAGTTGCACAGTTTCAGTAAATGATAACAAGGCTAATTTAATATGTTTATATATTACTTTCTCTAAGAAATAGTAATTTAAGTAATAGAATCTAATAAAAAATCTATGAGTGCAAATCATTAAATATAAGGAGGACTTTGAAAAATGGGTAACTAGTGACCAGGTGTCTGCAAAGGCAAGGGAGGAGAGCAGTGTGGTGCCATTGTGATGCAAACCATGCCTCCTTTATATATCTATAACAGGATTATTTACATTTATAAATATTACATATATAAAAGAGGTGGAACCTACATTAAGATGGTGTGACACTATTCTTAGCAATATAAAATCATAAATCTATTTAATATGTATTAATTGAGTCTAGTATGTTATTCATAAGAATTCTAAGAAGTTATTCTTAGCTCTAAGCTTGTTTAGCACAATTGTGCAAAAGAATTGAAAAACATGGCATGCTGAAAGATAAGAATTAGGTTCCTAAATTAATTATCTGCGCAGACAATCCTCAATGACTGAGAAACTCCAATGAAAAGATTCTGGTTTTTATTGACAAAAATGATATATGCAATTTTTTATTTATTATTGTTAAGATATACTATTATCTAAGTAGAATCCTAGTTATTTCAGTCTTGCAATTTGAGAATAAATTGGAATCACCTGTAGCATTCAAAAAGGTAATTGACTTGCTGGCCCCAAATACTGGTTTGTACAGTATTTGGGGCCAGCAGGTAAACAAATATATCATATTTTAATATAGCATGTAAACAGAGCCACAAACTTTTGAAATTGTTTCTATTTGAAAAAGAAAAACCTCTTGTAGTGAGTTCTCAATGTTCTAACAATGAGTCAAATGGGTGTATTGTCCAATTGTTTGCATTTAAAATATATTTGGAATGTTAGCAATGTTTCCAGAAATCTTTAGGCATTACCAGTTGAATTCTGATAATTAAACTATATTTGGCATCATTTTAACACTTAAAATCATTTTTCCTAAACTAAAGATGAAGACTTGTTTTTATTTATCACTTTCAAATTTGATTTTCCTATTTGGATCTTTAATCTTAAGAAATATATGGAGTCACAATCCTAACATTAATAAGGATTTCCTGCAATCAACAAAAGAGGAAAAGACAGTCAATGCACACTCTTCAGCAAAAACTCCACAACTGTAGGATAAAAGCAAAGGAACAGCTTTTCTTTCAACAGCTTATTTAATTACATTCAATCCTTTCTGTATAGAACATCCAACCACTTATGCTATAGAAAAGCATATGGAGCTGCTTAGAACATAGTCATATTGATAAAGAAAGGACAAATATCAGTTACTGATATTACTTTTTTACTGCTTTAATCAGCATTTAAACAGCATATTGCTATTTTACTGATACTGTCATCCATTCTAGCTATATCTATAGTCATGGCTATTCATTTTGTCCTCATTCTCACTTTTGCCTAAATGATTTATGTTAAAGATGTTGATGCATAGAGCAGACTTATGGGAAGTTTTTGCTACTAGAAATGTCAGCCAGATATCTGCTCAGTGATTATGACAAAGTACTTCCTTCCACACAACAGGAAGTACTTCACCAGCTGTCAACTGTAACATAGAGCATCAAAAAGAATGGTAAAGTGGGGTATGAGAGAGTATCATGGACTGAAATATATAAGACAGCCTATAGCTTGGTAGTACAGCATATAATTTATATTCAGAAGATCCTGGTCTCAAGCTTTTATATTTCCAGCTTTAAAAGAAAGTCTGAAAAAGAAGATCTGGAAAATATCCCTGTCAGAAAAAATGTACCCAGATCTGCTTCTTTTCTTTGAAGGATGTTTTGTTCAGATCATAAAAAAATAAAACAAATAAGAAAGGCATTCAATAATGTTTAATACAAAAAGCAAAAATTAAAAAAAATACCGCTATGTAAGAACCCACTTCTTTCAAAGATTTTTGAGATTCAAACCGCAATCCTATTCTGTCTGTTTGAGAGTAAATCCTTTTGAATTCAGTTTGATTTACTTCAATCTTATGCATTTCACATAATTGGACCTCTTTCTGAATAGACATCTTAGATTTGTACTGTAAATTTTCACGGAATGACAGAAGTTGTATTCCATCAATCCTTCATAGATTTTTAGTTACAAAAAACAATTGAATGTAGGGTAGATACAGTGTTATTATTTTGTTTTAAAATGCAGTTCCTGACCAGGGGTGAGGTTCAACCAGTGTAACAACCGGTTTGGTGAGCATGTGCATGTAGCATTTACAATTCACCTTCTGCTGCAAGTCCTGTGTGTAAAACAGCTGACATGTAGCAATCTGCTGTGTCATGCGAATCAGCTGAGCTAGAAAAACCTGGAAATAAAGCACAGACCAGAACCGGGACAGGCGGGCCCAACAGCTGATTGTCGAAGTGAACTGGTTTGCTCACAGCTGATTCTTTGGAGCTACCAATTCTCCCGAACCGGGCCAAACTGGTAGAATCCCACCCCCGTACATGACAATATGTATTTTGAATACTACAGTGTTGAAGATTCTAAATCTACAAAAGATTTGGTGGACCCATAATCCAATACTATTTTGGTTATGACATATTTATTAATTTAAATTATGGAAACCTGCTACTGGGGTAAAAATGTTAGTAGTACATAAATGAAAAAGTCACATGAACCATGATTTATTTACCATAATATAGATTTAATTTCTATAGGACTCCCTATTTAATCAAATCAGAGTAGAATTTTTATTTTACCTTTTTATTTTAGTTAAAAAAGATAGCTAAGTTATATTTCCAAGGAAACCAGGACCTACTTCATATTTCTATTTTATCAGAGATATCTAGTTAATAAAAAATACAATTTTGCAATTTATTTCATTTTATAACAGGCAATTATAATGCGACAGCTCAGATGTGGATTAACAGAAAGAACTTAGTAATGGATATATCACATTGCTTTATGGTTGATGTCCCTTTACTACATTTCTTGCTACTCAATTAGCTTTTATGATAGTTTAATATCTTGGCTAAACAGCCTTACATTTATGGTAACTTATTCAGTTGCAATTAGCAAAAAATAATTATATACAAATGAAAAAACAGACTATGAGGATTCTGCCAATCCTTTTGGTTTATATCAAAATTGGATGTATCCGAGTATCATGTACATGAAGCTCAGAAAATAATTCAAAGCTAAGCATGGCCTTCAGCCTAAAATAAGTTATATTTTCATGCCTTATATATTAATCCAGTGAAAGCTTGTAACATCATTCAAGGCTGGCTGCTAAGATGTCAATAACTTACACTCCCATGCTGGCATTTAGTGGAAAATGTAGGGTACTAGTCTCTTTTTTGTAACTCCTTTCCCCCAATAAAATGTGTTAATTTTACCTGTTTTGTGAGATGAAAAGTATCTGTAGCAAAGGCAGCCAGTAGTCAGTAAGTTTTCCCAATCTGGATATGTTATTGTCTTCCAAGTATAATTCTCTTAGCAAAACATGATTTTCCAACTTGGGGAACTAAATGTAAATTAGTAATTAACAAAACAGTCTAAGAGTAGCTGATTTTTTTTCTTCCATAAATAATCTTTATGTACTAATTTACTTAATGCAAATCTTTGTATTTCAATTACAGTTACTACAGCAGTAATCCTAAATACAACTATCACAGCAAAAAGCTATCAAATTCATAGTCTCGATTAAGTCTCTAATATAGAGGTGAAGTGAGGGAATGGGAATGTGTTCCATTATAATACCATTGTACTACTTAGTTATCACAAGCATAGTTTAAAGACATTTTAAAGTTTAAGCATGATGCAAGAAATTTACTGAATCACGTCTATACGAAAACTGAAATTCCTTCTCTCCAAGCTACAAATTTCCAGCTACTACACATCTCTATCATAGGAGAATATTCCTTATCATCAAATATTTGCCCCATTCATAATTTTTTCAGTTATCTGATATGCTTTTGACACTTAATCAAAAACATAAATTGTATTTTAATTATCACGCTGAAGGGCATATAAGAACATTATCATATTACCAATTTGTTATTCAGGCTTCTTTTTCCTTGCTGTGAAATTCAAGACATACTCAAACATGTATAAAAAAAGTCAGTAAGCACTTCTGGAAACAGTAGCTAGTGAAAGGATAATTCATGTACTGTGCATGTATTTCTGTACACGTGTTTTTCTTTATAGATTTATGTCACTATGTCTATAATATATATGTCCTCAATTCTTTTTACTCACATGTCTACTGACATCATTACATCAGCAAACACAAATATTCACTCATACTTTTTTTAACAGTGCTGCTGTAATATAAATCATGACATAAAATGGAATTCTGAACTATACATTCCTTTTGAAGCAAAATAAAAAATGTGAAATGTTACTTGAAAAATGAATTTGTACAAATCCTTTCCAAGACAATAAAAATACCCACAAATTAAGAAAAATGTGCCCTCTTTTCGGAATAAGGAGTTTATCTAAAATGAAATTTATTATCAAAAAATAAAGGAAGAGTGCTTTTTGATAGGGAATTATTGGATTTACTCCTGTGCACATTTCTTTAATCAAGTATTTAGTTTTACCGCAGAACACCAAGTTTTTACCTCATTCAGATTATTTCCTTGTAACTTCAGAATCTGAAGAAGACCACAGTTTTCAATGCCTTCAATGTCAGTGAGATGATTAAAGGAACAATCCAGGTATAGCAGAGTTGGAGTAGCAGAGAGCCCTTTTGTACTGATCAATTGATTGTGATCCACAGCCAGTCGCTGGAGTTTTTTCAATGACTCCAAGCCTCCTAAAAACAAAATATCATACTGTATAACATATTAAAATTAATTGTATTTGATTAATTTATTTATAATGGTATACTATTTGGTTTTAATTTTTTTATAAAACATGCTTATAAAATAAATCTTCCATACTATGATTATTCAAATTATCTTGAAACCATAAATATTAGCTTAGTACTTGCACACAATATATTTCATTTTCTATTTTTGAAATTATGTACTGTTATATTATTCATAAAAAACAAATGTATTTCTTTAGAATTGGTTTTGTCCCTCAACAAATTCTTATTCCACATTTCATGGTTAAAACTTACCCAAACTGACAACAGTAAAGAAAATCAGTTTGATTTTTGTTATCTGTACTTCGTCTGCATAAACCCTTCAGACAGGTACATCCTAATCACATTAGACTTGATGACTGAGCCTGACTATATGAGAAGAAATCTACCACACAGTCATTATGTCAGAAAACAATATAATGTATAGGAAATTTTATAATGGATGCTGAATACTGAAGAAAGAGGAAAAATGTTAAACGTTAATACAATAATACATTAATATGTATTATTATCTAAGCATGTGCTGCACTGTAAAAATTACAAAGACTTTTCTTAATAGAGAAAAAATAAAATATTAATTTTTAATAAATTTTAATCTTGACCACTTTAATTATGAGGAAATAAATTTAGATGTGCTTCTGATTTTATCCCCCAAAATTGCACATATCTTGTTGAATTGAAATGAAAATAGCTTCAAAAGCTAATCAGCACCATCTAGTGGAATCATGAAATACAACAATAGAACAATAATAAGTCATTTAGATTAGGTGGAAGGTTGTTTAACTATTTCATCTGAACTTCCAGTTTGAAAACAAAAATGGAAATACAAATGCACACCCACAGACACTTCCTGAGATGATATCACAATAAATATCTTCTTTCTATTCTAACATATTGGTTTGGATTTCTAAAGAAAATAGATACTCCTCAAGGCTTATTATGAAGATCAAACTAAGTAAAATTATTATAAATAATTAATAAAAGACAAGTTTGCCTATGAAAATCATTAAAAGGGGCTATGTAAGCGTGTTCTATTGTACCATGTTACATTTGTTTTCTGCAACAAACAACATTGGGAGCCTTTGGGGGAAGATCTTCAGAAGGAAAATCTTGATCATCTTTGGTACTGATGAAAATTAGCTGATAAAATGTTATTTTCAAAAAATTCAGTATTCTCACATCTATACTATTTTTAAAATAATTTAATTGAAGTACAGTTGATGGATTCATCATATTTCTTTAGAAACTGATTTCTTTAAAAATCTTTCAGAACAAATAGGTTTTCTTAACAAATACACTTTTATCGCTTTTCTAAGGTCCTCTCTTTAGTTTCACAGGATTTAGAAATAAAACAAACACTAAAAATTAGCTAGATGACTAAGATATTATTAAGCCTTGTTTTAAAGTGACAGTGTCAGTATTTCCAATGCTGTATTACTTTGATAAATTCTGTTGGATTTAGACACTAAAGAAATGGAACAAAAGCATATTTTGAGTGGTTCCATGTTTTTAAAATGATCAATATATTTATGTGTAACATGAAATGTAAGTCAAACAGCCAACCAACCAGATCTCTTCAAAGCAGCTGATGATGAAGACAGAAAAGCAGAAACAAATTGGTTGTCTTCAAAATCTACTTTCTTATTCAGACTCTTCTTGTATATAAGCACAGTATTTTCATTATGTACACGGACAGAACAAGAGGCTTTTACACTGTTAGCTGTGTAGGCTTCATAGCCAAAACACATTAATTTGTATTATGCCATTTTCATGTTAACCTTTCAGATGCTCTACCTAAGGAAATCTATCCAAACAAAAAATCCCTTGCAGCAGAACTGGCACTAAATACAGATTGAATGTACTGCAGATTCCATCATTTCTGTTGGTCCATGTTGCTCGTTTACTTTGGATTTCTGATTTTTGACATTTAATGAACACCAACATTCATTAGAAGCTTGTGGCTAAGAAATCGATGTCATTTTAGAATGAGCAATAACAAAATCATAGCAAATGGAGTTGACCGCGTAAAATTTTAAAATGTAAAGCATCTGTCAAGATTAATATGCTCACTAAAAAGTATATTATATATACTTTTAAAATATGGTTTTATATTTTTATAACCATTGGACTCTATAGTTTTTCATATACTACAGAAAATGTAATTTTCTCATATATTTTTTAATAGATACATTCAGATCTCATATTTATCTAGCTTGTTGCTTGAATTATTTATAAGCATAATGCATTTGTGTTAAATATTCTTATGGTTTGTATAATATTGTGAAATCAGAGTTATAGCTATGAGATGGGTGGCCATATAAATAATTTAAATAAATATTGTTATAAATTTTCAACCTGTATTTGTGTAAGCATTCCTGTGCAAGGTAAAAAAAATTCCTTTAGTGCTTATTAGCCATTATGCCTTTTATTAAGTTGTATTTAACTTAAAAATAGTGCAATTAAAGATTAATGCAAAAGTAGGTATAAAGCAAAAAAACCTTAAACCCACTGTCTTTTACAACTTATTTTCAAGAGTCTCTCTTGATTGTTTGAGACATAGAATCATACTTTAAAATAAAAGGTAGACACTGGGGCATAATGTCCATTTTGAACCTTAGCTAAGTATCTCTAAAGAATAATTCACAATAAGATGGCATGCATCAGGAAAAATATTCCACTTATGCATGTTAAGTTTGTTCTGTGTTTGGCATGAAATATGTGGTATATGCTTTGCCTGAATTTTATATCTGTTGCATATCTGTTTAATTTATCTGTGGGTTTTTTTTTGTTTTTGTTTTGCAGGAAGATACAGACAGTGTCCCGATTGTGACTGATCATGCCTACATTGACAGATTTACACTAACAATTCAGATGTAGAGGTAGTTCTCAACTTACAACCATTCATTCAGTGATCATTTGAAGTTACAATGGTGCTGAAAAAGCGACTTATGACTGGTTTTCAGACTAACCACTATTGCAGAAACCCCATGGTCATATGTTCAAAATTTGGGCAGTTTATGATTGGCATACATTTACGACAGTTGCACTGTCCTGGAGTCATGTGATCACCATTTGTAACCTTCCGTCAAGCAAAGTCGGGGGGGGGGGGAGCCAGATTCACCTAAAAAAATGCACAATTCATTTAATGATTGCAATGGTTTGCTTAACAACTATGGCAAAATGATCGTAAAATGGGGCACAACTCACTTAACAACTCTTTTGTTTAGCAATGGGAATTTTGGACTCCATTGTGGTCATAAGTCAAGGACTTTATAATATATTATTCTAAATGATCATAAAAGTACTCAAAGCTAGAATCAGATATTTTCAACAGTTGTCATTAAAATACCATACATGCAGATTGTGATTTAAGGACTTAACCTATATAACCTAGTGGTAGGGAACAAAAAAATCAATGTAAAGAGCATTACAGAAAGACAGGAGTGGGTGGGACAGGAATTTCTTTCAGTCAATGCCACACTCACTGGGGTTTAGGCAGCATATAAGTTTAAATAATAATATTTACCTATCAGAGCTCCTTGGGGATAACTCAGTAGATGAATAAAAATGCCAAATCAGTCTAAATATCTAGCAGACTGTGCAACCAATCATAATAATAAAGTGATTCCTTCTCCTCCTCCTCCTCCCCCTCCCCACTCCCCCTCCAATGTTTAAGAAAGGTGACGTGCATAGGGGGAATAAACTAGTTATGTGGTCACACTGAAAACTATTGTTTCTTTAACTGCATGGTCTCTGGGTCTTTTCCATACTGTCTTATGAATAACACACATGATTAAAGAAGATATTTGGCAGGTTGTTAGCCCTTTAAAAAAAAAACTTCTTGCAACATCAGTGAGTAACTGCTTGGCTTCAAATGTTGATGATTTCAGCTTGTATATTTCCTGATCATTAGTCAAGCTGAATAGGAATATTGTAAACTGAATTCTACCATCTGAAGGATCATAAGATGCCCAGTAGATAATACATTAAGTCCCATTTAAAATCTAAATCGGTCCATAGCTATATACTCTAAAGAACAGAACAGACCTTCCGTCTTCTAGTCCAACCTCCTGCTTAGGCAGGAAATCCTATATATCATTTCAGACAAATGGTTGTTCTTAAAAACTTCTAGTGTTGGAGCACCCACAACTTCTGGAGGAAGTTTATTGAACTGATTATTTGTCTTAATTGTCAGGAAATGCCTCCTTAGTTCTAGGTTGCTTCTCTCGATTAAAAAGTTATTAAATACTATATTAAACAGTAATAATAGTCTGCAGCTGTGAACAAACTAATTTCCATATTTTGTTTGCCTTTAAAATACTGTATATATTACAGAGTATACAAATTTCAGCAAATAGTAGGAATTAATTTTTTCTAAGACAGAAAATGTTTTATTATTTACATGAATTACTATGCTAAAGGTTGCAGCTATACTATTTATAATTAGTATCTTACCAATTCGGGTTATTTTATTATAGGAAAGTTCAAGATTCAAGAGATTACTGCAGCCATATAAACCATGAAGTGATGAAATATTATTTTTGTTCAGAATTAGAATGCAGAGATTTTCTAGATTCTCACAATTAATCATCTGAATGTTGTTCTCCTATTTGGGGGGGAAAGGACACAGAACAAAGCAAAGACATTAAAAACAGACTATTTTTCCCCTTTGAATTTCAATACAAACTATATTTTAATCCCCTGAGCATCTGCTCAGAATTAAGTCTCACTGAGTTAAGTATAATTTATTTATATTATATATATATATAATTTATTTCCATATCATCATTTGTCAGCTGGCTTGGTACTTGGAATTGACTCCCACTTGAATAACATTTGGAATTAGGATAACGGTTTCTAATTTATAATGAAAAAGATGAAATGTCATTAAAATCAGGCTGATTATAGTAATAATCTTAAAGAAATATTTAGATACAGTAGTATGCCATTCAGAACTGCATTACTTTCTTGTTAAACATTCTTCTCAAATTACAACACTGATGTAAACATATCTAAGTTTCCAGCCATCATTTTCCCATTTCAAACATATTTAAATATATTTGTGTATTATTGCTGCAGGCTTTAATGTAGCAAAATATCTGGAACAGTACTATAGTTTTTGTTGTGCAACTGTGAGTCCTTTACTCAAATATTTCTGAAAAAAATGCTATGAATAATAGAACAATGGTTACATTTAAATGCTTCATAAGATTCTTCTGTCATCTGTTTTAAGCTATAAAATTACACTATCTCCATTACCCTGACCTTTAATATGTATCTCTAGTTTTCAAACAACATGTAATAAAACATAAAATCAAACTAGCATATAGAGCATGTCTTTTATCATTCTTTCTGTCCTCTTAGTAATAGCTTTATTCTGTGTCATGTCACCGGGAGAAAGTGACATGGCACAGAAATTGCTACATTTTGAGTCACTGTCCAATTGTTTTTTTCATAGGCATGATCAGAGGAATCACCTGGATTATTTCTTTCTCCAGTGCCCACAATTTAATCCATTCTTTTTTCCATCTGAAAAAGAAACCTCATCCAAGATAATTCACTAGTTACTCTGATAGTATTCTCTAGAGCCATAGGCTGATTCAATTCAGCATCCAGTGCATTTGGGAACTTCAAACTGGTAGAAGAAATCATAGTCCCATTCCACTCTTGTTCCCAGCAGCCGGTATTTTAAGGCCTGCTGCAATAAACATTACTGATTTGTTCCAGTTCATACAAGAAGAATAATGTAATGATTGGAGGCAGGAAGTAAAATAATGTTTACGTAAATCCCCCTTTTGGGCTGAAATATTAATGTTTTAAATAAAGATTCTCACAATAAGCATGGGAACATGTCTGTTTTTTATCACCAGAATTACATACAACATTGTTCTCCAGTTCAAGGGAGATGGGTTGGATAGAGGAAGAGAAAGCATGATGTCACAGCTAATTCTCAGTTTCTAGTTGAATAGAAAAGGGAGTCATGTAGTCTCTTCAAATATTGAAAAAAATGGGAGATCTGGACACTAGATAGCATTACAACTTCTCAAATTATGCATACTGAAAGCATGCTTTAAAAAGTAATTGCTGGGAATATTAATAAATATTAATATTATTCATAAATACTACCAAATTTCATTTTATCCAGAAACCATTTACAGATAATAATTCTTTGCATGGGCTTAAAGCACCCCCAAAGTTGTTTTTTACTTAACGTAAAACTTTAAAATATTAATTTTTTTCCTGATTTGTTATAAAAAGAGGCTTTCTCAAATGAGAAAAAAACTTCTTTTACTTATTCTGAGTGATGATTTTTATTATTGTGGCTGCTTTTGCTAATTTTTATTTGATACTGACAAATGTATTAAATAGTTAAACTGATATAAGATCACCAGTACTAATTTTTGAACATTATTCATTTTTATGCAGCTTGTAAATCTTTTATTTCTTTTCACCCCTTTCTTTTTTTTTCTGATGTTTCTTTTTTTTTTCTTGGATGCACTTTTAAATATAAAACGAAACAAAAATATAAGAAATAAAAAGTAATCTAATCCAGTTATAGTCTGCAAACATCACATTTACAACTCAGTCACTATAGTTGGAAGAGATGGTTACAACTTAAAATAGTTCACTTCTACATACAGTAAAATACACGGTACCTCTACATCTATATATTTCAAATCCTTGCAGATGCTGAGTCCTTGCAAGGCAAGTAATCCACAGCGTCTAAGGGTCAAGGACTGAAGTCTTTTACATTGTGATAATGTTGACAGGCTGCAACCAGGCAAATCTTGAAAGTTAACTGTGGTCACCTATATGTATTCAATAAGAAATAAATATAGTTTGGTAACATTTGAATTGAACAACAATAAAAATGGCAATTCTACATAGCTGAACATATATTTTCGTAACAAACAGCTAGGAAAAATTCAAAATCATACTTGTGGAAAAAATATTTTTAACTTTGATCAAGCAGACAATACTATTCAAAATTGAAATTACATTTATACCAAACTAGTTGCCTGCCTAACTGAATATTACCCACTTGTGGAATCTATGTTTCAGGCACTCATTTCTATGTGGTTAATATATTCCTATGAAATCATGCTGTTTGCCAGCTAAAGTTATACTGCAATCAAATAGGATTCTGACCCACTTACTGAAAACTGCTCTTTACTGAGTGCAAGAAATTCTCCTGGACATTAAATGGAGGATTGCAGGCCTTCCTGCAGATTAAAACGTGCATAACTTTCAGGTAACAACTAGAAGAACTTTTGAAAATCACTTTACATAAATACTAACAGTATTTACAGGGCATTGGATAGATTTCTAGCACTGATTTACCTGTTGTAGAGAACTCCAAGGACCTGCCTGAATTATCATAGTAGCACTCAATGGAGGCATCTGGTCAGATGAGCATTTCCGTGGTTTGCTTCTTTCAACCATTTTCTTCGTCTGGTGTTCCTGATAAATTCTGGACCAAGATTTATATGTTTTCATCCAAGCCAGTCTTTTAGTTTCAACAGAATCAGATAAAAGTGGTTGTTCAAATAAATTGTTCGAGTTCTCATCTTTGGCCCACTCCTCATTAACCTCCTCATTAATTTCTTTTGGAGCAAAATCTGTTTTACTATTTTCTGAAGCAGAAGAGCTGGGTTTTTTTCCAGAGCCCCCAAAATCTAACTGTACATGAAGGTAATGTATGATACTTTCCTGATTAACTATTGCACTGGTTTCAAAACTAAAAGCATTTGTGTTGCTATCTTGCTGAAATTCTGCAGTTTGTAAAGATTTGTTTACATTATTCTCCAGTGATTCTTCATTATTTATCTCAATATGTACTTCTCTTCCTGATTTTAACTCTCCATCTTTACTTCCTCCAATATCATTCCATAATTTGTCATTATTTCGTTCATGCGTTTCTTGTTCGGTTTGTTCCTTGTACTTTTGGTCTGGTGTTTGTTTTAAATGTTTCTTTTCCATAATTAGCATTTTGGGGTCATTATTATCTTCTTGTTCTTTTAACTTTTTAGTTTCTTTTTCTTCAATTGTTATGTCTAAAGCTTTATTTATACTTAAGGGTTCCAGTATTATTGAAGCTCTTCTTTCCTCTTTTACTTTTACATTTTCAAAGGTTTTGCCTTCCTCTTCTGATTCTATTTTGTTAGTTGCATTTTCAAGTTCATCTCCTTTTTGGATTTTTTCAGTTGTGTTTTCTAGCTTCTTTTCTATTTCTTGCTCTTTCTTAGTTTGTTCAATATCTTCAGTTATATCTTGTGATTCAGTACTCTTTGCTGTCACAAATTCTAGTTTGTTTTTTTCTTCATTTTTCAATTCTCCAATCATTAATTCTCGTTGAATTCGCACAATTTCTTTCTTTTTTTCATATTCTTCATGCCTTCTCATCTTCTCTTCATTTTCTTTCTTCTCTTTCTCCTCTCTCCTCTTTTTTTCTTCCAGTTTTTCTAAAGTCTTCCTTTTCCATCTTTCCTCTTTTTCTTTCATTTCCTTTTCCATTATTTCTTTCTTTTCTCTTTTCTTTTCTCGTTCTTCTCTCTTTTTTTTCAAGACAGGACCAAACCTTTTGTACATCATGAAAGCTCTAAATGTTGTCTGAATTTTTATAGCTGCATTATTCTGCTGTTCCACCAATTGTTGTCTTTCTTTTGCTTTCTGTTCTTCAAAGGCCTTTTTTTCTTCTTCTATTTGTGTGTGTAATTTCATAATGAATTCCTGTATTCCAACAAGACAAGATGCTTTTATAGGAAATATCACAGCTACATATTTGCAAATCTCATTAGATTCTTGAAGATTAAAAAAAAACTATGTAATCATATGGACACACTACTTTCTGTTTATATTCTACGTTTGGCGTTTATATTCTAATATTATATCGCATTCTTGACTTTCCACACTTGACACCCAAAAGATTCAACTGGTCCAGAAATAGCACTGTGAACAATGATGGGCAGGTTTTAGTTGCCACAGTTTCCTTCTGGGTTAGGGTTAAAGTTCAATTCAAGGGGCTGGTTGTCACCTATAAAACCTTACGTGGCATATAGAGCCTGATTACTTGAGGGATCACCTATCTCCCATAGTATCTTTCCAGTAGATTCATCTGGCAGAATTGGAATACTCCAAATTCCTTGATTTAAGCAAGACATCTATTGAGACCCCGGATGTGCATCTTCTCTGTAGCAGAATCTGTCTCTGAAATGGTGCTCCTCCCAAGATTCAAACAGCCCCCAATTTGGTGGTGTTTCAAAGAGGCCTGAAGTCCTGGTTCCTTACCCAAGCTGTCAGTGGGGTTGACAGAAGTCTACTTTTAACTTGGGTTGTTTTCTCATTTCTACCCACTTTGTTATTTTTGCCATTTCTCCCACATCTTTCGTTTCTTGTAATTTTCATGATGAGATTTCATATTTTAAACAATTTATAAACCACCTAGAGTCAGGCAGTTGGGCAGTATATAAATTTAAATAAAATTTAAATAAAAAATTAAAGTTAAAATGTATAACTAGGCCAATTCTATTTCTAAAAAAACAAATCATTCTTGATATTAGAGATTTTACTGGATTTTAACAGCTTCACAGTGATTTTATGGTATAAAGGAAACTGTGGCAAATGATCAGCATTTATTTTAACTCTATGCTCTTGTTTCTTCCCTATTCTATACTGATTCTTTGGATTTGAACACTTCTCTGATTTTTTGATTTAATGAGATTGCTAAATGCAATTCTACTCTGCCTTGACCTTACATTTTTAAATTCAGGCCAGTTTTTTCATGGAGAAGGGAAGAGTAGCAGCATGATTTTTAAAAAAATTACATTCAGGCTAACCAAAATGTCACTGATACGGTTTCTCCAAGACTATCATGCAATATGTTGAAAATGCATAAAACTGTAACATTAAGAATAATTTGTACAGTATAGATGTTTATTTACAGGTGAAAAAAGAAGCAGTTCCATATTTTTATAAAAGTGAAAATGTTACTTTTTTTTCAAACACTGAAATATTATTTTAATGTTGAGGTAAAATTTAATAGCTGCCAGCTGCTGTAAGGCTGATGCAATATAAGGCTGATGCAATAAGGATGAATCAACATAGCATGGGTATTGCCCTTTTAAGACGAAGAATAGGTTCACAGAAGTCATTACCCCTTTAAAAGGTGTTTATATAAGGCTGTGTTCTCTCTCCTTGTGTCCAGTATCCATTGCAGAGTTCTCTGTGTAGAGTTAAGAAGACTGATTGCTTGTAAGGTATTTGCCTACCACGTATATTTCTGTATATGTCTTCTGTATAAACCTTTGTTAAATGTCTGTCTCTGTGTGCTGTGTTTTGCTCATGGGTTGTCTCATAATTCATGCTGCAAACCCTCTGACATAGATTATCACCCAAAAGGATTTGGACAAAAGGAGACAGATGTGGAGACTCTTTTTCTAGTGTGTTCTGATTCATACCCTTGAATTTTCAGTTCATTGCCAAACCACATTATACCTACAAATCAGATTCTAGTTTGAATTTGAAATTCTGACTGCCATTTGCCATATGATTTGCAGAAACCAGTTTACTATATTCTTACAATAGTAAACTACAATTTGTTGAGAATCATACAAATAACAAGAAAAGAAAGTATGCAAGGAGGAGGGAATTTATACACTCATTATATGATTTAATCTTCCAAATCATTCAAAGTTTGATTTTAGCACAACCTATGAGCCAAACCATGCAGATTGTAGGGATGCATGTCCCATATAAGCAATTGAGAGCATTCCTAAATCTAAATTACCTCATGTTCTTTCAGTTGTTTTTTCCAAGTCTGTTCTTTCTTCAGCAGTTCCTCTTCCATCATAGTCTGTTGTTGCTGTACAGAGTAGACTTTTGTTGTCATTATTTTAATTAATATTGGGATTTAATTATTTCTGGAATCATATATTATGTGCTTCCTACTACAGTGGAATATTTTTATTTCCATTGATTTCAAGAAAAGAAAAATAACATTCCCCCTCTTTCTCATACTAAAATCATATTAAAATATCAGGATTATATTTAGAGGAAAAAATAATATATATATTTAATTTCTTCCCAATCCTTTTATAGGATTATATCTAATGCTATAAATAAAAATATATATTGCAGTCCAGACTAATACGCAACTAAAAATAACATTTGTGAACAGAATTACTCATTCTAATGAAGGGATTCCATTTTTGCATTAAAAGGAAGGAAGGAAGGAAGGAAGGAAGGAAGGAAGGAAGGAAGGAAGGAAGGAAGGAAGGAAGGGGTCCCATTAATTGAAGAATCACTCCAGAAAGGACAGGAATGTATATGACTAGAATTCCTGAGTCCCAAATTATATTGCAGAAATTATTTTTCAAAAAGTAAAATTATAATATCAAAAACAGAATTTCCTCAAAATGTTTTTCAAAGACATTGCAGATAGCAAATGGATACTTCAAATGAGGAAACTGTAATTTCCAGAATATTTAAATGTATATCCATCAGTTCTTTGTTATTCAGTTGCTATGTCATGTCTGGCTCTTTGTGACCCCATCCATCAGATCAGATCTCTGTAAACATATTTATGCTATTATACAAAATGAGTTGGAAAAGAAGTGACAAAAAAAGAAGTGTTTGTAAAATTCTAATATCCTTCCAGAAAATCTTTTTATACCATCCAAAGTCTCTGTTGTGACATAACAAATAAATAAATCTAGTCTCCTGGCTGTTAATATTTTAAATAACATTTTTGAAAACTAGATTATGTAGTTCCGATTTGTGAAGTTACCAAAGGTAAAGAATATTCTTTTTATACTTATCAAAAAGGTGGTTGGTAAAGGTAAAGTGATTTTAAAAATCACTTTAAAATTATTATCAATTTTACTCAAGAATAAAACTGCAGTATATAGGTTAAGGTATTGGACTATGAGCAGGGAGACCCAAGATTTATGTCACTCTCAGACACTGAAATTTATGGGGTGACTGTAGGCCAGTCATTTTCACTCAGCCCAAAGTTGTGGGGAAAAGAGGAGGAGCTCAACATCTTGAATTTACAAGGTCAGTATTATAAAGGGTGGGTCACTATGAAAATAAATTAAGTTAATGCTGACAAAGAATATTTAGTGACTAACACATTAGAAAAAAATCAAAACACCTACATAAGTTACATGTAGGACTTGCTACTAACAGTATCTTCAATGTATCGTGTTGAGTACAGATAGTCCTCAACTTACAATCAACTTAGTGACTGTTCAAAGTTACGATGACACTGAAAACAGTGACCCATGAGTGTTTTTCACATTTACAACCATTGCAGCATCCCTACAATGATGTAAGCAAAATTTAGACACTTTGCAATTGGCATGTATTTATGATAGTTGCAGTCCTGGGTCATGTGATCCCCTTTTGTGACTTTCTGACAAGCTAAGTCAATGGGGAAGCCAGATTCACTTAAAAACCATGTTACTTAACTTAACAACTGCAGTCATTCACTTAACAAGTGTGGCAAGAAAGGTCATAAATTGAGGCAAAACTTACTTAACAACGGTCTTACTTAGTAATGAAAATTTTGAGCTCAATTGTGGTCATAAGTCAAGGACTACTTGTATCTACATGTATGTGATAGAATGTGGGCCAGAGTCACAGGAGGGAGAGGCTCTTCCCCAACAAGCAAAGGACAAAGAGGCCTGGAATCTTTAATATACCTAAAGAGAGATGCTGGACTCCTCTCAGCAGTTTTCAGAGTATATCTAGTAGTTATGCAGACAACTGCTTTAGTCTGGCAATATTTCTGTCTACAGGCAAGTAACAATAAAGAAACTACTTTGAAGCAACTCTGTGTGTTGTTCTTGGTTCCTTGGTTCTGATTATATAGGAACCAATTATTGGCAGGCTCAAGAAATCCAACAACTTGCAAAAATAAAAACCTAAAGGGATAAATACCTTCAAAATTCCAAAGAGGACTGAACATTCTCTGTTGGTAGAGAATCTGACTGTTCAATGAAATAACAGGGTGGGGGGGAAGAGATATATATCCTGAAAGGAGCACTTCACATGGTAAGGGTTCATTGCAAAATCTAGTTACTATAGTTTATATAATATGACCTATAGATATTACTAAAGGTAAAGATTCCCCTCGCACATACATGCTAGTTGTTTCCAGCTCCATGGGGTGGTGCTCATCTCCATTACAAAGCTGAAGAGCCAGCACTGTCTGAAGAAGTCTCCGTGGTCATGTGGCTGGCATGACTAAACTCCGAAGGTGCACGGAACGCTGTTACCTTCCCACCAAAGTATTCCTATTTTCCTACTTGGGTTTTTACATGCTTTCAAACTGCTAGGTTGGCAGAAGCTGGGACAAGTAATGGGAGCCCACTCCGTTATATGGTGCTAGGGATTTGAACCACCAAACTGTTGATCTTTCTGATCGACAAGCTCAGCGTCTTAGCTACTGAGCCATCACGTTCCTTATAGATATTATTATTAATAGATATTATTACTTTATTTTAAATATATTACCGCATTAAACTTTTCTAAGTTCATCCGTTCATTTTCAAGTTCTTCTTGACGTAGGTATCGTCTTTTCTTCTCTTCTTCATTTTGAGACATTTCCATGTCCTTCTTAGCTTTTAATTGATTCATTTTTTCCTTCTCTAGTACTGTTTGCTTTTCCAACCAATACTGATACTCCTGCTTGCATCTTTCTTCAACTTCTTGGAAACTAAAATTGATGGGTATGTCATTGGCATCTAAAGGATACATATATACGTAAATATATGATTTTCAGTAAAATTATATCATTTATTAATGATGATTTTAAGGGATTTGCATGCATTAAAATAAAGACACAATTATTTCTATCTGTGTTGATACATTTTAACATTTCCCTAAAGGCTACATTAGAGTTGCCTCAGATCAAAAGATGGGTGGCAAATAAATTTGACAATATAATAATTATTTGCAATACTAAATTAATTTAATTTAATAAAGAAATAAATTTAAAGATAAATTAAGATAGTGAACTTGGTATCCACTATTTCAACAAAATGCCTGGGGGCAAAAGTAGCCTTCTGAGACCTGAAAGAAAGAAAGGTTCCTTAATTCTGATTTAAGACAAATTTAATGCAACTAAAACTTTATTGCATGTTTGTTTACCTGTCAAGGAATACCCATCAGCTATATTGTTAGAAGAAATATCCTGATTGTTTTTTAACTCAATAGTACTGTCTGATAACTCGCTCATTTGCTCCTCGTCCTCTATTTCAGATAATACCTAAAACCAGCAAATATTTTGAACTTTAAAATTATGAAATCTCGGAATTACATACAAGGATTTTTATTGTTTAGAAAATAAAAACCAGGCATTTTTTGTTATGAAAGAAAATTTCTAGAGCACCTATATCAACCACAATCCAAATATGTTTGTACAAAGAGCTGTTAGAAAAGTAGCATGGCTCAATTGTTTGGTAGAAAGAAGAGCTGGATTCAGCTCCCTTATTCTTTTTTGTGAACTGCTGGTCAGAGATATCATTAATTTTCTCACAAGGACTTTTGTGTAGGCAACCCCAACAGCTGGATCTGCATAGGCAGTGTGGCATTGGTTTGCATTTAAGATTTCTTAGTCAGTTAGTGGGATCTGATTAATGAAGATTTATTCAAACATATAAATTTAAAAATGCCAACAAAACATTTATGATTTGACATGATACACTATACTACCAAAATGTATCTTATTCCTTTACTTTTTCCTAAATAGAAAAAATATGATAATATGTCATGCTTATTGACCAAAAGGAATGCAACTACATTTTAAAAAATAAATATTGCTGAAATAGTATAATTATATCGGGCTGATGTACATGTATACATATTTTCTCTCACAGAAAAAATTATAAATGCATATGCAACCCTATACATCTGTTTCGGAAGGAAGCCACATTATACATGTAGCTAATCCAGGTTAGAAATTACAACAGGGTTTAGTATGGTCGTTGATAGATTTTTGGTCGCTAAGTGTCACATCAGAATTTGGGGAGAGGCTGAAGGATCTATTAAATATGCTGATGGAGCATGAGCGCATTGTTAGTTTTTTAACTGTTTTATGTTTTTTACCCTTTCTACAACTCTTTTCTTCTATATTTCATACTAAAATGGCAGGAAACTATAGCTTCAGTTTTCAGCAGATATGAACAAAGAGGGTTCTGGGGACCACTAAAAAAGACACAGATTACCAAGATCTGGCTTAGTGTTATGAGAAAGTCATAAAGTGATAAAAAGTGGGAAAATTTCAAGGTACACACACACACACACACACACACACACATACATATAC